AAGTTTCATGAAGACTAAGCAGTAATAAAGAAGTACTATTAAAAACATATAAAAGTATCCATAAAGCTTTAGTACTCTTATATGATGTATATTACATTACCAAGTATTAATCTTAAAAGATTCTTTATTTCATTATGAGAAATCGTTGATATCATATATATTGTTACAATTTTTTGATTCCTCATTAAAGATTGTTTATTAAAGTATGAACATTTAAGGTGTGAAAAGATGAAAAAGAGCCAAATTTGTCAGTGACAGATAACTGAAAGGATTGTGTCATGCTACGATTGCTCATGCCTGTGCATATTTCCAACATTAAAGTGTGCATTTAATTCCTAATTGTTTGATGACTTTTCAGCATATCAAACAGTCTAAAAAGAGAAGTTATGCATACGGTTCAAAACGTATGTACAGGTTTTTTTTAAAGATATTCTAAAAGTCAACATGTCATATTTGCCTTGTTCTCGATAATATCTCGCACTTGCTCGAGATCGCCGTTCTTTATTCCCCAAACGAGTTCGCTCATTTTTGTCGTCGTTATCGTTTTCACGGATTCACACGACGAATTGTTGTGTACTGCGTATTTTCACTTTTTCTTCCGCTTTTATCCGGTCCGTATTTCAACCATTCGCTCATAAAATTCAACAAAGCTCCGAACAGCTTCAAGCTCCAAGTACCACCGAGCCCACCGACGAGAACCTAGTTGTATCTATGCAGTTATAAGCATGCTGACAATTCACGTGCGTATTAACCTACGAAAACCAAAAACACTATATATAAATCTCTACGTTTTTACTTTCCTTCTAGTTTTTCTTTTACTTTTTTTTATTATTAACACATCAGCTCAGATTTTATCTTTAAAAAAAGGCGAATAATTAAAACTGTTTTTAATTTAATTGATTTATGAAAACGTTTTTAAGAAAAATTAAAAAATAGCCTTATTGCCAACTTGGGAACCGCGAATTGATAACCACTGAATCATATGGAACAGTGGTTGACTTCAAGCGATTGCGATTGACGAAGGGCGAGGGAGTTAGGTCAGCAAGACCTCGGATATCGAACAATGTTTATCTTCTACGCTACGCTGTAACAAATAATATTTCATTTTCTTCAATTAAAGATATTTGTAATAAGAAAATGGCATCGATCGCTCGCGTCGGTATAGCGAAACTCGGATACAATAACCTTACAAGACAATTATGTAAGGTTAGTATTAACAGCATAACAGATTTTTATTTTTATTTTTTATTTTTGGTATGTAAAAATTTGCTACGAAATAACTGATTAAGTCGTTAATATAAATGATGTTTATCACAGAAAAAAGATGATTACAAATGATGGTATAAATGATGTTTAATATATTAATACATTTTATTAATCAATTGTCAGGGTATTTATAATTCTTATGAATCGTACAGGTGACAACTACTAGCAATGTCATGCAACTAGCCTTCATCTCGCATAAGTCAAAACGAGTGGATCATCGACATCTTGCACCGTTTGATTACTTCAACAAGAAATATGGTTTCTGGGATCAGCTTTTTGATCCTATGGTCGATCGATGTGACGAGAACACCAAAGTAATTGTCGTTGAAGGCCCGGTCGCTGCAGGAAAGTCTAAGGTGGCCGCGAAAATAGCGGAAGAATTCGAAATGGTTTATTTACCGCCACCGTCTTTCGAAGACATATATATAACTGAATACGGATATGATTTACGCACGCTAGATGACAGACTGTCTCCATCTGCGCAATCATGCGATTTGGAGAAATTTTTGACAAATCCGAATCATCCTAATGTGCCCGCGTTTCAATTTCACTACTTCCAACTCAAGTATGATCAATACATCACTGCTCTGTTGCACTTGGTGTCAACTGGACAAGGAGTAGTGCTCAATCGTTCTTTTTTCGCTGATTATGTGTTCGCGAAGGCGATGACAAATGCCGGTTATATGCGTCCAGCAGCACTTAAATTTTACTCCGAGGTCGTAAACGTTGCAATGCTAGCGGTGATGAGACCTCATTTAATCATTTATTTGGATGTACCTGTGGATACAGTTAAGGTAATTTTACATTATTGTCATGATTAATAGACCAGATTATTGCTTCTTTCTTTCATATATTAAATTGTATTTAGCAAATTTTATTATATACTTTCTATATTTATTTACAGGAAAAAATAAAGAAACGCGGTATACCATATGAAGTAAATTCCAAAGTTTTCACATCAGATTATCTCCAAGATATGGAAAATGTATACAAGTTGGATTATTTGAAGAATATTGCAAAGCATTCTCATGTACTAGTCTATGACTGGACAAATGAGGGAGATGTTTCTAGCTTAGTGGAGGATATCGAGCTATTGAATTTCGATTATGAAAAAGGCTCTAAGAAGATGGCAGATTGGAGATTCGAAAGTGTTCAAGAGATGCGAACTAAGAGGCAATTTTTTGAAAATAGATATTATTTGCATCTGGATTATTTGAGACACGACTATGACGTACCAGAACTGCACTATACACCTGAGCAGAATGAGGAAAGAGATTTGGCGATGAAGACGGTATGTACATACAAAATAAATTTGTACATAATAGAAAATTATGAATTGCACTATTCTATCGAATATCTAATATTCTGTCTAATACTGCTATTCAATCGCACGTAGTGATTTATTCAATGAAAAAACGAAAAAGTAAAAAAAACAAATACGTCATTGTGGAATTATAAGGAACAATTAAAAAATTTGAATGTCCATAGCTTTGTATTATCATGTATAATTATTAATTCCTTTATAGGTACCCGGACAGAAATACAGTGTAGGATATAATGCTGCTATGGGAGATACCAATATTATATGGAAAACACAGACACCTCCTCATTTTCGCAGCCTTAGATCGCATAATTCGCGCGATATAAAGGTGTTAAAAGAAGAAGTAAAGAAACTCAAAGCTGCTGCAACGGTGTGAAAGTGAGAAAATAATCATTTAGGGAAAAGATAGTGCTTGTAAACGATGATTAAAGTAAAAATAAATTTTACCATTTATTGGGAAATAGTATTTCCTCCCTCAGTACTAAATCACCGCTGTTCACACAATGCCATATTTTTTGCAGTCAGTTTCGACAGCGTTTTTGGCATCCAAATGTAATTTTTGTAATTTCTTTGGTATAAATGGAAAATCTATTCCAAATTCATGGAATTAATGTGTCATTAGAAACTAATGCAATAACGCGTTGATACTTTGTACATATTGAAATATCTTAATAATATATGTGTTTAAATAAATCGACTTTAATTGTTAGCTATCTTTATGTATAAATTTTTATGAATACATCATATAACATTAACATGATTTGAAAATATATTAATATATATTTACTGGCTCATGTTACACTCTTCAACATACATAGTATAAAGATTATAATTGTTACTTAAATATACACAGAATATATCTTTTTTTTTTTGTCAAGACACATCATCAAAGTTTTAGCATGTTAAAATTCAGACGACAAATAATGCAAGTTTTATCATTTATTGATCAATTTGTTGAAATATGTAGTGTGATAAACACTAATAATATTCATTTTTATATAATTCTTGATTTATAAATACAATAATCCATTTTCAAAAGGATAATTGGTTTGCACATGTGTCAGATAAATTATTACATAATCCTTCGGTCTATGCAATATGTTTCCCATTTAGATATCAGCCAGATGTTCTCCTCAATGTAACTAGTAAAATCGCAAAGTTACAGGATATAAAATTATTTCTGTTGTAAAAATCTTGTGTGTTTTTAAAAACAAAAATCACTTTTTGATTACTTCATGCTGATTATGTTGATATTCAAATTTAATTGCTTGAACAGAGACGCATTACTCATTCAATTGTAGTTACCCTCACCATGTTGTATCTATCGATGCGCACTTTTACGATAAACTTGCACCGCATTTGCATTTTTTGCACATGAAAAGGATACACAAACATTCGGAATGCATTTAAGGCGACTTTTGACACTTTTAGGAATTCCATTACAACAATCGTTTCCCATCGCACAAAATACATCTCGGAAGTAAGTTTCATATGTAATCGCAATTATCTAGGACCGTTTCTTTCAAATGGATAAATTTTCTAAGGGCGTGTAACATTTATATAAAAAATTCCACTTAATTGGGAGGAATCGGCAGTAGTTTGCTTCTCGCCCGTTATTTAAGTAGGAATTCAACAAATTAATACGTTCCACTGAAAAATTTAGATAAATTGATGCCGTCCACATTACATTTCTTTTCATATTTTAAACTCTTTGTCCTTTCCCATCTTTCTTCCCCTACATCATTACCTCTGCCGAATCATGTAAACATTCTTTACGTTCCTATATCGCGAAGATTACAAAGTCACATTTATCGAAATACCAAAGCGGCAAAGCTCGCTAAGAAAGAAGAAACATGCGTTCTAAGGAGCTAAACTACAACAAGAATTAGTCTTCCGCGCAGTTTTATAAAATGCCTTTGACTGAGCGCTGAGACCTTCCGATTTGGAGACCAAATCATCCAATTTCTCCCCCCTCTGCAGCACCGCTTCTAAGGTATTGTGCTGGTAAAACATATTACAGATTTCTGAATACTTTTACAATATCCATATGTTACACATGAAGTACACTAAGTAAATTACTTCAAATACATTTGCTCCTTCAATATTTCTTAGAAATTGAACATATTATGATGAAAAGATAAATTGATTCTTACCAAGATTATTTTTGTTTCATCCAGATCATTCTGCATTTTTGTGAGTGCGTCCGCTTCAACTGGATTTTGATATTTGGCTAGATACATATTGATTTGCGGGAAATCAGCAGTGACTTCTTTTAGTGTAGGCCACGTTGACGGCGGATGCTTTGTTGCAAATTCATCCATTACCTTCGTGATTAAAGTATGAGCCACTCTACCGGGATATTCATGATCCGAGATGAGTACCGCAGCAAGGTTGTCAGCACGAACATATACATAGCACATGTACTCTGTGAGATAAGAAAGATTATTAATCGCATTGCTCTTGCAATGGTATAAAAAACTTAAATTATATTTACCTCCTTCCTTAATATTCTGCCTGGCACATGTCGGTGTTCTTTCCACAATAGTTTTACTGACAAAGCACATAAATTCCTTAATACTGTTTCTCTGAAAAAATGAAAATGATTCTACATCATAAGCAGCTTTCAATGTTGTTGCTGATGTAGGATTTTTATACAGAACAGTCAGAGCGTATAACTTCACCATCTTAAACTGCAAAAATAATAGAAACAGCATTAAAATCTGCTTGCCAACTAATATTCATGTATTTTATATTTATATATATCTTTAAAACAAAACAATATTTTTCAAATATTATAAATTATTTGTTAAACATCAATGTTATTGCAAATATTAACAAGAATAATCAACTTTGTATAATACTTCACATTTCAAGCTTCTTTTATTTATATTTTAAATTAAAGTAATTTAATGTTTTACTTAAAATATAAATAAAAATAAAAGACTGCCCAGTTAAGTTTAATTCTAAAAAATAAGAATATGCATACAAATCTTACATTGGAAATTATCTACTTAAATTAATTTTTAAATTTGACATAAGTTATAAAATTCACAAGTTTACAAAACTAATATATTATCAACTTGAAGAAAATATTTTAACAAGAAAATATATTTGTAATTGCCTAGAAATTATAATTATTTTATGATGACAAATTTATATTTGTTTTGTATATGTGAAGAAAAAATAAAGAGAAATCTCTCAAAAATAAATGCTCAAAATAGTTAAACCTACCTCAACTCTTTTTACAATATTATATGTCGTTACAACTTGCGAACTTTAACAATTGCAGCAAATCCTGACGAATCTTGTTGCTCGTATAACTTAATTAGCAGAACACTCACTCGTTTTGGTGATTCACTGAAAAATCATCTTATTTTCCCAAGATGAATATATACAATCATTGATTCTGCAAAACACGAAAGCAACCATGTTGACCATAGGTCTGTTCTTTATAGCTAAACTGGCTGCACTAGTTCAGAGTTTATCTTTTTCCCTTCACATTGAAAGAAGAAAGATAAACTGTGAACTAGTGTAGCCAGTTCAGCTATAAACAGACCTAAGAACAAACCTCATAAGTTTGTTCTTTATCGCTGCACTTTCTATACTAGTGCAAGAAGTGTGTACTACTAAAGAAACAGGCCTACAACAGAAAGAGACAAAACAATCCCAATGCCTTCTTTGTCATTCCACATCTTGAGCAGAGCACCTATTGGCTTAGTTTACACCGATTGTTTAGTACGCGCACAGATGTCTATACTAGTACTAAGGTACTAGATATGTAGGTATTCTCATCCGCCATTTTGGTTCCTACTAGATGGAGAATTATAGCGTATATAGGGCTTGTTCGTTTTAGCTACACTGGGCTGCTC